GCATTAAGATGTACAAAGGACATTAAATACTTTCCTTAAGATGTTGCAGATAAATGTAAACAAGTAGATAAGTGCATTAAGATGTACAAAGGACATTAAATACTTTCCTTAAGATGTTACAGATAAATGTAAACAAGTAGATAAGTGCATTAAGATGTAGAAAGAACATTAAATACTTTCCTAAGATGTTGCAGATAAATGTAAACAAGTAGATAAGTGCATTAAGATGTACAAAGGACATTAAATACCTTCCTTAAGATGTTACAGATAAATGTAAACAAGTAGATAAGTGCATTAAGATGTAGAAAGAACATTAAATACTTTCCTAAGATGTTGCAGATAAATGTAAACAAGTAGATAAGTGCATTAAGATGTACAAAGAACATTAACTACCTTCCTTAAGATGTTACAGATAAATGTAAACAAGTAGATAAGTGCATTAAGATGTATAAAGAACATTAAATACTTTCCTTAAGATGTTACAGATATTTTGAATTCTTATTAGTGATTTTTATAACTTTGTTTGGGTTTATATATGTTGGTACTAAGCAATGAGTAATCCATCCATTTTTATTTATTTACAGATTAATTACTGTATCTTATAGCCAACTAATAACTACCTTGTTTCAAAGTATTTAACTCCGTGGTGTGTTCCATTATGCTTCCCCCGACACACATTATCCCATTCTACACCATACCAAATGTCATTACCTATACGAAAAGACAGGTATGAAACATAAGTTTAGATAATAAAATGTTACAAATAACTTATAAGTATAAACGTTTTTTCAGACTTACAATTCAATTACCAATAGCAAATCTACAAAAAAACAACACATTAAGTATTTTTTTAAATTCATTTTTCCAAACTCTTGGAATGTCAGTCCTTTGAAATATCATGCATATGCTAATAATGTAATATATTTTAAAATATTTTAAGTATTTTTTGTCATTTAAAAATGTGAAAATATTTACTGGATGTGTATTTAGTAAACATCCATTAATAGAAAATAAAACTATGACTTCTAAGAAAAAAATAATTTTACAAGTAGGTTAAAAGATTTAATTTCTTATGACGTGCTATCCCCAGATTAGTAGATATGAGAAATGTACTAGTCCAACTTTATGTTTTCACTATAATTACTAAATCATTATGTATTGCTATAATATACATATCTACATTCATTGTGATGACTTCTTACATAGTGTTACAATAATTAAAAATGTATAAAAAGTCAAAACAATCCATGGCAGTCCAAAATTTAGAACACATTGCCCTTTTCTGTGATGCCTAGGAAAAATGCCATGGAGTTCAATATGGACAGCCTGTGTTATTTCACAAAAAAAAACAGCTGTTTCATCTTGTATCATTAAAACTTGGCATTAAAAAATAACTATTCTAATCACAGTGAAAAATACTGACATAGATTAAAACTGTTATAAATATAAAACTAAATAGTTGTACATTTTAATTTACATGTCTGTAACTGAGTCATGCATATGTGTTGGTAATATCAGACTTATTTAGCCTATCACTGATAAACAGACTAATGAACTTACAAAAATTTCAATAACGGTAAATAAATTTGAAAGAAAAACAGCAACAGATAGACTTTTGTAAATCTTAATAATTCAACATAGATTTGGACTTCATGCATCTCTACACATTTCATGCAAAACGTACTACAGTAGTCTTGGGCTAGTACATATGGAATTCATGGTAGCTCGAACACACAATTTACTAGTTCGTGGCATTGAACAAGAGGATTTAGACACTCTTTTAAATTGTAAGCTTCATGAAGTAAATTTAACAGGCAACTATTCAATTCTGATGAGTTAAACAAAAAGGAGTCTCTATTCAGTCTAAATTCAATACAATTAATTTCCATCTTCATGAAGTCAGTTAAAACTAAAAGTCTGGGAAGCTAGATTAAATAACCATCTGAACTGACTGGATTATTATTTTCATCTGGCTTTTTTTATATTATTTGAAGAACTTGTACATTAATAAAAGTGCATGTTAGATGCACCTTTTCTTTGAAGATGTAACTGACCAAGGATATTTGGAAGTTCTCCCACATAACGAACTGTTGCAAATTCCCCATCACAGAGAATTCTAGAACCTGGTCGAACACTAAATACTTCCTTCATTTCTGGCAATTTCTTCTCACCTGAAGACATATAAAATAACAACATATTATGATAATGTTCAAACAAAAAACTGTTCCAGTGTTCACAGTTATTCTCCGGGTGTGTTGAAACTTAAGTTTCTATGTACACTTGAAAAGATCAACTCACGATAAACGAATATATAACTGTATTGCGTATATACTTTCATTAAAATTTCAAGTGCAGAATATTTGAAAAATATATATCTTATTCTGTCAACTTAACAGTCATCAACTCTCTTAGGAGCTACATTATCTTCATGTACAAGGTTCTTTTAAACACTACGAAACATACCTTTAAAACAAGAAATTCACTATTACCAGGTGATGAGAAATTCAGATAAAAACCTATAAAACAAGGAGGACTTATACATCAACACCATCAAAAAAGACAAACTCAAAGTGAGCCACCTTGGGTATCCTACTGTTAATATTGCCATCCAACTTTCTAATCAGAGCCAATTGGACATTTGAACTGATTTCAAAAGTTTGTCGGTTCTTCATACTATACTAACACTACATAGAGCTTTCTGACCTAAAGATGAGCAATGGAAGTTCTCCAAAATTTCATCACCCATTACATTTTTGATAAAAGAGTTAGCACAAAGTGATTTTATAAAATAAAATACATCATATTTGGTTAAGTTGCTTTAAAAAAAATCTTATGAACATTTTAACCTGGACTAAATCTTTCAGTAAAAAAATACTGACACGAACTGATAGCAAAATGCTTGATAAACTACATAAAATGTGGGTATACATTTTCAAAGTTTTTATGAGAGCACCTGTTAGAAATCTTTTTCATCTATGGGTTTATATTTATATCATAGTTAATATTGACTAAAGTGTCACACGTAATCAGTACAAGTTAAAGAAACTTACATTTACACTTGTTCATAGCTAGTATTTATTCTGTTTTTTTAAGAGAAGATTATTTGTGCAATATTTTGTTTTACAGTATGGTATGTGCGAATAATTTATAACAACTTATGTTTTACAGTTGGGTATGTGCCAACAATATGTTTTACAGTAGGGTATGTACCAACAATATGTTTTTCAGTAGGGTAGGTGTGACCAATATGTTTTAGCGTAGGGTAGGTGCACCAATATGTTTTACAGTAGGGTATGTACCAACAATATGTTTTACAGTAGGGTATGTGCCAACAATATGTTTTACAGTACCTTATGTGCCAACAATATGTTTTACAGTCGGGTATGTGCCAACAATTTGTTTTACAGTACCTTATGTGCCAACAATATGTTTTACAGTAGGGTATGTACCAACAATGTTTTACAGTCAGGTATGTGCCAATAATTTGTTTTACAGTCGGGTATGTGCCAACAATTTGTTTTACAGAACCTTATGTGCCAACAATTTAGGTTTTACAGTACGGTATGTGCTGAAAATTTATGTTTTTTGTTGGACACACAAAGCAATGTTTACATCTACTTTTAAGACAACTGACAGTCTGGTTTTCTATCACTTTGCTCATTCTTGTTTCTAATATATGGGATCACAGTTTTCTTGATATTAAAAAATGTATGTAAGATGTATTATGAATGGTGAAGCTGGTAACAGTTAATTTTGTAGTTTTTATAATATTCTCAAGTGAAGAGCTTACCAATAATGTTAAAACACTATAATATTATAATATATTATAATATTACCCAACAGACATTAATTGGGATCATTTAAAGTAATGAAACAAAAACAAAGGTTTCAATTAGATATTTTACCTAATTATATCAATCATTATTATCAAAGTTCTTAAGCTTACATGAGGTATGTTTGGAAAAACAATTCCTGTTCTGATAAATATTCAGTACTTAACTAAAAAGGCCCAAATACACAAGGAACATAATCCGATGTTTTAGTAGATTAAAAAAGGGCGATTATTTACAGTTAAAATCCAATATATAAAATACTCAAGTAGCATTTTGCACATTGGTTAAGCACAAGATACTTTTTAATCTTTTTTTTGCACAACTCGAACCCTCAAATTACAAGCTTGGAAGTTTGATTAGGAAGGAAATTCAAATATAAAAGATTGACTAAAGTTAATACTAAGTATATTTGGACAGTAATCACAATGTTCACATGATAATTAAAGGAACTCTGAAATTACAAAGTAACAAGTAATATCAGGATGAGATGTACTTCACCAAATGCCACACGATAATTAACTGTTTTTTAATGAATATATAATTACTTAACTAAAGGTATGATTTTGAAAGTTATGAAGTAATCTGAGAATAAAGAACGCTACATGAGAAGATACTCATCGTTGGGCTAGGCTCTCTATTGCCATTAGTAATAAGAAAAATCAGGTTTCTGTATACTGTAATATTACATAACAGCAAAATATCTCAGAATTCAATCACTAAAAAGAAGCTTTGTGGCTGGAGACTATATAAGGATATTACAAGAGAGTTAGACGGAACTCGCGAGGATTACAGTCCAAATACAGGACACTAGCAACAGGCTTAATACAAAAGTTTACTGTCCACTAATGCACTATAAGTGGCCAATAAGAATCAATCTGATATTGATTCTGCACCAATCAGGTCAATTGTAATCAAATCTGACTGCTGAAATTGAATTCAAAACTGTTGTAATAAAATGGAGCAGACATTCCATGAGACTTCCACATGTATTTCTTGATCAGAAGTTGACGACTAACATCAGTGCATAATTTAGAAAAATTTCTTTAAAATGTTAATATGGTTTATATTGACCAAATCACTAATTCTTTGATTAAAGCTAGTCAAACTGATGTGAAATGAAAATTAAATAACTAAAATTTATCAAGTCAGAAAATACAAAACCAATGTATATTTTGAGAAAAAAGAAAAATTCAGCTTTAAATGTTAAACTACCTAAACACTAAACTAATGAACTAGCATTAGTTGTAATCACATTGTGTTATGATCACCTTTATGCAGAGACAGGATTGTTTTTGTTTCTATTACAGATTATTCATTTCTTGGTATACATTTAAATATAAATAAATGTACTCAAAATGTACGAATTATTTTATCCAAATGATTTGTTCTTTAAGTAGTTTATAAATGTGGATGGTTTTATTAGTTCAGGCTTAACACTAATGATAAAGCGAGTAGCTATGCTTCCCACTGTGATTTTTGGAAAATTTTTCCTGTGTTTAAAGTGTAGAAATCTAATAGATTAAAAAAGCAAGACATGTTACTTAGTATTTTTTTAACTGAATGGACTGTTTTTTCAACACAAGACTTTTAATTCAATTAAATTTATAAACACTGATATTTTATGTCATTGTTAATATTGAAAAGAATTCCATGTGGTCAATCTAAAGTGATGTTATAATTCCAAATAGACTTGTAAAAAAAAAAAACGATACTTAAGTGAGCTTGACTCATTGTAAACAAGTGACAAAAATCACACAAAACAAAATTCTTATAATTTCCAATATAAAACTAAATAAAACATGCCAAGTGTGATCTTTGTATTACTTGTACATAATCTTGAGAGTAAGAATTCAGTTATATCATTACTTGCAAATTAAAGTTAAAGCAAAATATAAGCCTACTGCCAGCTCTGTTACCCTTGTACTACTGCTAGTGACTTGTAAAGTCATACTGTCATGATCAATTCACAAATAAAATATTAAAAAGTAGTAGCACAGTAGCTAAACTTTAGTTAAAACCTAGTTTTCAAGCTATACTTTATAGTTTGACCTAAAATATACAAATTACATGTTCCTAAAATGGGCCCACAAGAAACACTATGTTGACCAAACAACCTTCCATCAACTATGGGCTACTAGTGGACAAACTTGAGATCAATATCACCTCTCTGGTTCTCTTCATTTAGTCTCCTCCTATTTCTTACACAAAACCATTTATCTCACAATGATAAGCTCTTGCTTATATTAAAAAAAAAAGTTACATTGACCAAACAACTGAAAACCATGGCTAACCAATGTAAGAGCAACAAATCTACATTTCAATCTTCCTAACTGGAAACCATTTATCTGGGAAAGGTAAAAGAGTAAAGAGGAGAGTTAGTGTAGAGTTATTGGTCTTAAAATTAAACAGGACTGTCAGTAGTCTGCAGTTAGTTACAACTTGTTTGGTCAATTAACAATTTTTTTCACATATAAGCAAAAAAAAGCTTAGAGTTATAATGGCACTATGAGTGGTTTCCAAATTCTAGCTGAAATGAGGGACAGACTAAACGAGAAGAATTAGTTGTCTATCAGTGGTCAATATTCAATACGTCTTATTTTTTCTATGTAGCACTTCCCCCTTTTTAAATATACATTTATTTTGTCACATGGGTTTTGTATTTTAAAAACACCCAAGGGACAACAAGGAACCTATTGGTCCATCTAGGCTATCCTATCCACCAAACTTTAAAATAAAACACTCAAAGTCAGCCCTTGTCACTCAAATATTTATCAAACCTTCCCTTAGATTTACTGCCTCCACCACATCTGAAACCATCTCATTCCAAAGGCTAACCACCCTGTCAGAAAAATAAAGCTGTCTTAGTTGAAGATGATTCCTACCCTGCCAAAAAAATATATGTGTCCCCTAGTTCTACCATTCTCACCATTAAGTACAAAAAAAAGAATGACAGATTAACACTATCAATTCCTTTAACAATCTTACAAACACTTAATTCAGATCCCCTCTAACTCTTTTTTTTTCAAGAGAAAACAATTTCAGAGATCTTAACCTGTCCTCATATGACAACCTTTCCATCCCAGATATTATCTTAGTTGCCCTCCTTTGAACCCTTTCCAACAACTCAATGTTCGACTGAATACAATTCTCCAAATGTGGCCTAACCAATGACATTATAACCTCTTTACACTTGTAAGCTTTATTCAATATTTCTGTAGATACAACACCCAAACCTATTTGCCCTGCCACTAGCAACAGCACATTATTCAGAAATCTAAATTGCTTAAGAGACTGATCAAATACAACACCAAAATCCTTTTCTTCCATAACACTATTAAGTTATTCTCATCAAAACTACAGTCATAGTAATAATTCAAATCTGATATCCCACATGTATTATCTTGTATTAATTATAAATATGATTTATAATTAAATAAGTCATCTGCCACTTATTCATCCAAGTCATCAAATAATCTAAATAAGTAAATCCTTTTGTAAAGCATCATCCTCCTCCCTTTAAAATGATAAAAGTATTTCTTACCAGTGGTGGAGACAGGTCCAAAAATAATGATTTCAATAAATACAGAAGTAGGCCTAAAGAAACCTAACCCTAAAGTTAAACCTTGTCACTATTAGAATTACTGACTGAGTTCACAATTGCTATTAGTTGTACCTTATCGTGTTTCGTAACAATTCGCTAATTTCCGTCCTATTCAACAAAACAAAAATGTAAGTAAACTGCTCAAAAAAACACTTTATTTCTAAAGAAAGGCTTATAAATGTATCAGGCTTAATTTTGAGGGCAATTTAAAACTACTTAATGATTAGAAATAAAGTGTAAAGCCTATCTAAAACTAACTAACATACTTACTTCTCACACGTTTATTATCAATTGCAAAAGATGGCGCGACAAGTTCGCGAATTATATATTAAAAACAGCTGTGATATAAGATATTGATATATCTTTACTTAACGCACGAATAGTGATGTTACAGCATTCAGAGAACTAATAAAATCGGTTGGGCACATTTACCTGCTAATCTATAAGTCAATCAAACAGGCTTGACAGATTTTTTGACTTCGCAAACTCGAAATCCCATCTATAGAATCTCACCTAAGTCAGAACCAGTCCACATAGTAAATTAAATATTCAGGTAGAAGTAAGCCTATATATAGAAATTTCGTATAAAAAGCAAAACATTCGAAAAAAAAACAGCTTTTTAAGATTTTTGATATAAAATCATGTGATTTAAGATTTTATATATTTCACGGAACAGTAGAATTTAAAGTATATTTCTTTTAAAAGTGGTCTCAAAACAATATCTGTTTTGCTGCTGCTAAGTGATAAACCTTCGATGTAATACTTAATTCCATATTAGGAAGTGTGTAACCATTTTACGTCACCAGTGTTTGCAGGTTGTGGGTGTTAGTTGACTACATTTGTAATATAATTTGCTGAATATTAACACACGTACACAGGAGACACTGACATAGAATAGATCATCTTATCTTAAATGACTGAATTATATTAGAGATCGAAAAGAAAATTCAATTATCAAAAATAACATTAATTATTTAACAACAAAGTACCTCGTCAATGAGCAGTGACATATATGTTTACACATAAATTGATAAAAACTTATAACCATTATCAAGTAAAAATCATCATAAACTGATGACAATTGTGAAAAATCACATCCATCGTAGTAGAATTTTGTTCTTAAAAACAATAATAATTTGGTAACATTATCAGTACTTTATTTTGGTTACACAAAATAATAGTTTAAAGTACTCTTTCGGTAAATCGAGGCCACAAAAAAGAACTAATACACGTCTACGAAATACTGCATCATAAAGAGGGCGCGGGTTGGCTCTGTGGTAGAGGTCTGGATTTTGAGTTCAAATCCTTGCAATACAACAAAATATTCCCAGTATTTTAAGCTGTGGTTGCGCTGTAAGAGTAATAGTCAATTTCGTAGCACAGATGGTGGGTGGTAGAGGGTTGTTAACTGACTGCCTTTCCTCCAGTTATAGCCATTGTAGCATTGTTTGTTTGTTTGTAGTTAAGTACAAAACTACACGGGTATCGAAACCCGGTTTCTAGCGATGTAAATCCACATACATGCCGCTGTGCCACTAGGGGGCGTTGTAGCATTGTCGCGAATACAAATAAACTTAGTTCTTTAGCTTGTGTTAAACAAAATGTCGCGATATTTATTATGGTTTATATCAAAATTATTGCTATTTCATTTTTATTTATACAAAATGACTAATCGATATGAGCGCCCATAAAAATATTTTCAGGGGGGCAAAACATGTATCTAGGGGATCAGCTTTTACAGTGTAAGTCAACAGACTAAAAGAATGTGTGTTATGTGTACTTAAACGCAAACACAAATTTACAGTTTTAATAAAAATTACTCAAAATATTTAGTTTAACTACGATGTTAAGTTTACATCATAATATATGCAATATGTAAGGGAGTAAATGTTCTCTCTTGCCCTTCCCTGCGGGCGCCCATGCTAACCGAAAAATTTGGTAAGAAACTGCAGGTTCAGTTAATGATATTAGTATATGGTTTGACAGCAAATCAGGCCCAGCATGGCCAGGTGGTTAGGGCACTCGACTCGCAATCTGCGGGTCGCGGGTTCGAATCCCCGTCCCACCAAACAAGCTCACCCTTTCAGCCGTGGGGGTGTTATAACGTGACGGTCAATTCCACTATTCGTTGGTAAAAGAGTAGCCCAAGAGTTGGCGGTGGGTGATGATGACTAGCTGCCTTCCCTCTAGTCTTTCACTGCTAAATTAGGGACGGCTAGCGCAGATAGCCCTCGTGTAGCTTTGCGCGAAATCCAAAACAATTGGTGGCAAGTCTGAGAACTTATGTCAAGTTTTGTATGGGCCGGATTTTTTATAGGAAGTGTCTGTGACTTGTGAGCAATAAAGTTCAACAATAACCAAACAGTACACAGTATACTTGGTTTAAATTAATAACAAGACAAAGTATTATTCTCTGCTATACTACTACAATACAATCTGTGATAATTTCACTTTAAAAATCGTCACTAAACGCTCTTCATGACTAAGCTCACAATCACACAATTTAGATCTATCTATTTAATTAAGTTTCCAACGCATATTTATACCCCGACAGAGGTGTAGAACGTTTCACACACTACTAAATATTCTGCCCCCCAGTGGCACAGCGGTATGTCTGCGGACTTACAACGCTAGAAACTGGGTTTCGATACCTGTGGTGGTCAGAGCACAGATAGCCCATTGTGTAGCTTTGTGCTTAACTTCACACAAACTAAATATTATGATTCAATAATATTCAATTAAAACAACGAGAAAACTCCAGAAAGTTCTAGCAACATGACGCAATAATATAACAATTACTAGTTCATAACTATTGAACTACACAACGTATGATTTGTAAACAGTTACGTAAACAAACTTGCGATTAAACTATCGCATCTAAAAATAACTACATTTAACATTTGCGCTTCATAAAATATTTAAATCATAACTCTCGCATTAAATTTAAACTGAAACAGTCGTGTATATCTAACAGCTTATTACACCAAAAATCTGGTTTCGATACACACGTGGGCAGAGCACATAGCTCATTGTGATACTCAGGATTTAACAACAAATAAACATATATAGATATTGAATGAAAGTATAGGGCTATTTTATATCATGCCCCCAGTGGCACAGCGATATGTCTGCGGACTTACAATGCTAGATACCGGGTTTCGATACCCGTAGTAGGCAGAGTACATATTTTTAAACAACTCTACTTATTCAATTAAATAACAATAACAATTTCATGTCATATGGTTCTAGTAAATTTCAATAGATGGAGCCATTAGCACAAATAATCACAAACTCCGTCTGCGGTCTTAATGGAAGAACACGAAACTTTAAGCTGGCAGATAACACAATAACATACTTAAAAAGAAATGAAATCAAAACAAAATTGACCGGTATATGAATCAAGTTCTACTTTATTACACACGTGTCTTCTTCTTTTCATACGTTCTAGCCATGATCCAAAATAATAGTAAAAATAAATGTTGTTTGTTTCGATTTAAAAACTAAACAAAACAAAAACGTCTGCCATTTTCATTCAGTGTCGGAGATTTATGGAGGTTTGTCCTTGACTAAATTATTGGTAGTTGCTAACCCTGAAAGTTTTATAATCAGATTATATTCAGTTATAGTAAGGAAACCGAAGATTGAGATAATATCTGTCAATGAGTTTTAAGTGCCGTGAACTTAGCATGAAGAACCACCACAGTAAGAAGTGTTATATTATTACGTCTTTGAAATAAGATCACACCACAAAAATAAGCATGCTAAAGTTGAAATGGCGCCTTATGACGGGTGTATCCCTTACAATCAGTAATGACCCAAACTTCCCGCGTGATTAAAGTTAAGACTAAGCAAGTTCATTTATTTTTTGTTGCATTGTTTTGGCCCTAAGGATGTTGTTCAAAAAATGGAAAACGTAGGTGATAAAAAATCGCAATAAAAACAGGATACTGTAATGTATGTTTCTATCATTTGTTTTGAAATACTTTTTGTTCAGTATGTGTGCTGGTTTCAAATAACACGTGGTCTAGTAAAATATTATGCTGATCTTGTTTTAAGTTACCCATGTTTCTTTGTTATTCTCGAAGTTGGTAATACCTGTTACCGCCCGTGGTGAACATTGCTAATGCGACCTTGTATAAGGACGTCGACAGCAATAATCTTCAATTATTATTCAGATGATATCTAGAGATTATGCCCCTCACCTATGCGTGATGTAAATGACCAGTCACGTGATAGTACATGTCGTGCTGGATAGATACGAGGTTACTTTGAATTTATGAAACCTTGGATTTGGCAGTTTGGTCTAGAACATCACTGAATATTGTCTAGTGTAGAACTTGAGCGTCGGACCATTGATCCAGTGAAAGCGGTGTAAGTAAACTGCAAGTGCATACACTGTGTTAATGTTTAGTATAGTCTCCCTGTAGGACAGCGGTAAGTTTACGGACTTACAACGCTAAAACCCGGGGTTGGATTTCCGCAGTGGACAGCAGATAGCCCAGTGTGGCTTTGCGCTAAAACAAACAGATGTTTGGTATATAATAAAGATTGATCATATCGTGTATCACTTTTTGTCCACTTTCCTTATTCTACTTAACATCGACTCAGCGAATCTCCTGTTATTTAACAGACCTTTCTGATAGCTCAAACATATATTAATTTCACCTGAATTACCACGATATATATATATATTACTATTTTTCTTTCCTTAAGTGTTTTTTGCACGATAAATCATTAAATTTCTCCTGACATTTGTACATTCCCTGTATAAAACCCATTATGAAAATGTCTAACGCGACATCGAGTGTGTTCGTTTATTGCCCTTAGAGTTACGAGTTTATAACCTTCGCAGTCGAAAAATCAAACACACTAAGCTCGGGTACTACTTAACTAAGCCCACTGAACATTGGCGTCGGAAAGTAAAGCCCATCACTAAATATTACAGTTGGTCGATGCAGCAATTGTACAGTATAAAACCTAGGCAACAAACAGTGCTCGTATATTTGTGAAACAGGATGTGACGTCATTGAGTTTAAGGTGGAACTGCTTAGTTGTAGCCGACTAAGATTTACGAACTCTTTTCTAGTAATAACCCAAAGAAAAACTTTATAGGTTATCTATTTTAACACTAAGAATCTCTGCTGATATGTGACTGTTTTAGTTTTAGGCTAATCTTGAGACTTGTAAACTACATGTTTTGGAGCCAGTCTGCGATACATGTTCAATGCATGCCGAATATCGAGCGAAGCACGTGAATTGCACGTAGAAATGCTGTAGGATATTTAAAACAGTGGCGAAGGCAGTTTTGCAGGCCCATTAAGAACGTTCCAGAATGTAGTAGCATGTTGAAGAACAGTAGTGTAATAGAGTATAAACTACCGAACTCTCCTCCTTTTTTTTTCACAGTGTTATTCTATCAAAACTGTTTAGCAGCAGATTTGTTTATTTCAGAAATTTCGCGTAAAGCTACACAAAGGGCTATCTACGAATATCCACTCCTATTTTTAATTTGTTTGTTTGTTTTATTGTTAAGCACAAAGCTGCACAATGGTTTATCTGTGCTGTACTCACCACAGGTATCGAAACCATGTTTTTAGCGTTATAAATCTCAAGACTTAAAACTTGCCTCTGATCTCTGGGGTGACCTCCTAATTTTGAACTGATAACTAGAAGAAAGGCAGCTAGTCAACAGCACCCTCCACCAACTCTTGGACTACTCTACTCTGATCGAATAGTGATATTTGACTCTTATTCTTATTACGTACCACGGCTCCACAGTGCAGATCACGATTTTGTGGCAACAGAGCACGAACCTTGGATCCTCAGATTCACAGTTCAGCACACTAATCAGTCAGCCACGCTTAGTCCACCAAGTAAGGGAAAGTCATTCAAGTTTTGTCTCATTTCAAATTCGAACCTGTTCATGGAAGACCCCCCCCCAAAAAAAATAAAACACAAAACAACAACAACAACAACAAAACACCTGAATATGCAGAATTGGAAAGAAAAACTGTAAACACAAAACCATTTGGCGGCAGCTATTCCCCACTATACTAAAGGACACTGCTGTTTTTTTATATAAATGGTTGTCTAATTATTAATATACAGTAATTTCAAAAATATTATTTTGCCTCGCAAACTTCACTGGCTAATTTCCTACCTGACTTGTAGTATTTCTTTGATTCTAAACTCTAATCACAGGAGATGATTAGTTAACGATAAAAATTTCACTCGGAGAATACCAGAAAATGTTTATATGTATTATCGTTAAGAAGAAATTTTATGTTTTCATTTCACAATTATACGTTCCGTTGCATATGTTAAATAGAAATTATTAGGGGACAACATAATAGTACTGTGAATTTGGCAGCTTCTTTCCCATTTACAACAACTAAATTTAGCTTCTGTTCTTTAGATTTGTGTATTCGTTCACTTAGTCTTAGTAAGTTATTTTTTCCCCTTTCGTTACTACTAGTATACTTATCTTGTACCTGCCTGTGGCCAGCACCAGGATTGCCTAGGGCGGGACAGGCTCATTTAGCAGGGTAAAAAGTGTGCCTACGGGAACGTAATCATCACTTGACGAAGGTCAAGCAAGGAAGGAATTTGTGTTGAGTCTGCATTCCATAACTGTCATTAGCTATTTCTGTACCGCTGGATTTGAATATCAGTACTTAACGTCTTTCTTCCACCGTAACTAGGGAAACAGATTAGATTAATACATATTTTGTAGTCATTGTATGCAAAAAATTACCAAACACTATATCATTAACTTTATGTTAGTCAGTATCGAAATGCGTGTTTATTACTTTATATCAATTTTGTATGTTCATACTCAAAAGTTTGTGGCCCAGATGACGCAAGGGTGTGTGGCTATGTGACTGATTAATATCACCTTTCTAAAGCCAGGTGGAAATTCCAGACGTCTACAACCTTGGTTGAGGAAACTCGTAACATAAACATGTGTTAGTAAAGGATTGTCGGATTACAGCCTACAACAGAAGCATCTTTTCAAGGTTGTTACCAGGAATTTTGGCGTACATGGCACTTAGCTGTGGGCTCCCAGTGTTAGTTCGTACTTGTGGAATGTGAGTTAAGACTTTACAACTTCAAGCTTCGTCTGCCTTGGATTGTTCACATCCAGTTTTGAATTATTAGATGCCGGTAAGTATTGTTTCTGGGGGTATTCTGTTTAGATTAATATATCGATTAATTATTGGTTCATGGGTTTTATTTTAACAACAAATAACTTATTTTCATTAATTTGATCATATCAACCGTAGGCCTAAAAAAGTCTAAAGGTAATCAAAAATTTAAATAGGATAGTGTCGTACAAGTTATAGGCCTATTGTAAAATAAACTAAACTTTCGATAAGTCATTGCCAGTTAGCTACCTGGCGGGTCGTAAGGACTAAGATTTCGTTTTATGACAAAGGATGACGTAATTAGTAAATTTTAGTATTTACTAGTTAGCCTTATGATAATAATGTAACTGACATTTCTATTCTAGCTAAAATACATTTTTCAACATTTTCATTGCGTGCGGAACACGAGTGTTCAAGTTTTAGGTATATAATATAATTTTCAAGTGAAGAAAAATTAGTCGTAGAGGACTGCACCGAAGTTGTGTTCAACTCCACAAAATGTATAGCAAAATCGACAGTTTCATTTGTATAACTTTAAACTCGTGTTGGCGTAAATAATAAGTGGTTGTTATAAAAGCAGGCTGTGGAACGTGGCCTAAATAAATACATGTTTAACTGGCTTGCTTCGTGTGTTGATAGGTCAGAAAACAGGATTTACATGTAAAAACTTTTTATCAGTGATAAAGATAACTTGAATATTTAACTTCAGACACTGAAGCGGGGATTATTTATGCAGGGTTTATTCCTTGTTAATAAAGATGTAGGCCTAGTACACCGTAGTTAAACACTATGGAATGATAGTCATTTATTAATTTTACAAAAGAAAAACAAACATTGTAAATTAGTCGAGTTTGAAGGTCACGGTTGGTTTGAGATCATAACTGCTATATGTTGAGAATCCCTGCTTTTCGGTATTATAATATATTGTGATATTAAAATATGGTGAGGTTATGGCGTGTGGATTCTATACCAATACTTTTAGCTGCGAAAATCGAGTGGTTTTACATTTGTTTGCTTTTCAGGAGTACAATGTATAAACGACCAGCTCGGTAAAAACACGAAAGTATTTTTCTGTGTTATTTATCAGTGATTTAATATACTTGTAACACTTTCATTACAAAACTTAGTTTACCTTGTAACACTGCTAGTGTCAATTGTCGTAACAACACGAAAATTAAACTCTGTATACTTCATTTCGTTTGTTAAGCGCGAGACTGGTAATTTATTTGTTTTCCAAAAATCAAAACGTTTTATTAGTAAAACAAATTATAAAATTTATAGAATATAGTATGTGTTGTTATTAAAAATACGAAGAATCATCTTTATCACTTCACCCCATGTACAAAAGGGTATTTAGCCATTTAGATGGTGAAATCAAGGTTGAAATAATTATTATGTTAGATTTCTTTACGCGAGTTTGATGGCTTTATTATGACCACGTGATTGTGGTTCAGCCTAATTTTGTGACTGGCACGTAACTTAAACCATTTACTCATAAAGACTACGTGGAACGTATGCTACGTTGTGGTTTATAATGTTGTAAACTATATTTTTAAGATATTAATTTAGACATTTCATTGGGGGCGGGGGGCTAATGATGATTATGATGTACTCATTTAGGCTCTAAAAGGTTCGTGCAATTTGTAGAAATAAGGGTACAAATAATACTGTTGCGTCATCGAGGTCACGTGACTGGTTTGGCGCCCTCTAGTTTCTAGAACTATCTTGTTCCTT